TCACAGAGTCAAATGCCTTTGCATAAACAATGAAACACAAGTAAACATCTTTCTGGTGTTCTATGCTCTCAGTCAAGAATTGGTATCAGCAATGATACATATCCTTTGTCCTACAGTCTTTTCTGAATCCAGCTTGAATTTCAGAAGTTTCCTATGAAATGAAAGAGTATTATTAGAAAAGATAGGTTCCAGAGAAAGGGGTGGGGGTGGGCGGGAGGTCCTTTCTATGAAAGTAAACAAATAAGACCTGTTTCATTTTTGAGTCGTCTTCCCTCGTTGTTATATATACCACCACGATGGAACCTACTTTCCCTTAGCAGCTAGTGGACTTGAACCATGTGCCTTTGGGTTGACAGTGTGACTCCTTATCATTAAGCTACCAGAGCTCCCGATCTTCCTTCAGAGGCCCATGAAAACAAGTGTTGGTATACATGGTCTCTGGTTCTTCTCTGGCTGTTCAGAACAAGGAGATGGAGCAAGGAGATGGTTATCATCAAGTGGTTAAGGTCAGGAGCTCAGGAAGCAGACTTCTGGGGTTTGAATCCTAGTGCCATTACTTAATAGCTGTGCAACCCTGACAGTGTATTAAAACGCCTATACCTCCTCATCTGTAAACTGGAGTTGCTGAAACTATAGTATTGATTTCATAGCTTGATCACTAGTGCTTGGCTTTGGTGCTGGCAAAAGGGCATGGTGGTCTGTTACAATCAGAGCTGGAAGGAGTCTCCCCCACAGAACATCCCCCATGTTCTTCCAGTATTAGAGGGAAATAACTTGTTTAAGACTGGGGCTTTTGTTGACACTTATCCTACTGCTCTGTACCCCCCACCTGGACTGCTTACTTCACATACTTCATCTTCTTAAATGCCCATAGCCACTCTGTGTAGCTTATACTGCATCCTTTCATAGACGGAAAAAAATGAGGTTCAGTAAGGTCAGGTAACCTGCTCAGGGTCACACAGTTGAGTGTGACTCTGGATCCAAACTCTTCTAGACCAGCAGGTACGTGTCTGGAGTAGGGCCTGCGAACCCAGGCGGGAGGAAGGAGGAAAGGGATTTACTGGGTCGCTTCCCTGGGGACAATATGGGATCTATTTAGAAGCTTGTGCAGGAAGCGGAATTATAGGAACGTGTGGGCTGGGCCACAGGAAAGTCTCTTAATTAGGTGTCTCTGTGCTAGAGCTGGCAGCAGTGAGCCATAATGTGCAAGGATGTCTCTTAACTCCATTTCTGAGTCTGGGAGGGGTGGGCCAGGACTGAGTCTATCAGGTAGCACCCAACTGAGACGGCTTTTCAAGTGTGTATGTGTGGTGGGCACACGTGCCTCATCTTCACGCGCTCCTGTCGGGTGGGCACGGATGGTGGATGTATTTGAGTTTGCATGAACCAGACTCCTCAGCTCACCTCCCTCTTCCCCTTGGCATGTTGTATAATGACTAGACTTTTGCTTTTCCACCTAGAAGGGGTTAGACTGAATTTATTAGATTCATTGCTAGGAGTTAAAACCCAACCCAACCCACAGCAACTGAGTTGATTCTGACTCAAAGCAACCAGATAGGACAGAGAACTGCCCTGTGGGGTTTTCAAGGCTTAGGTCTTTTAGGGAACTGCCTCTGCCTCATATTTCTCCCACAGAACAGCTGGTGAGCTCTATTTTTTTTAGAATTTTATTTTTTTGGTGTGAGAGGACCGTCAAATCAGATCTGACTGGTACAGGAGGAGATTGTCCCTCCTTCCCCAGCAGAGCATCTGGTGGATTCAAACCGTGTGCCTCTGGGATTGTAGCTGCAGCTCCTTGCCACTAAGCCACCAGAGCTCCCCTAAGGATATTTTTAAAATAGCAGGAAGGTGATGAAGAGCTGAACAGGTAGTTAGTGGGAAACCCAGGGAGGTGTTTTTGAAGATGGGAGAGAATTAAGCTCCAAGGAGGGGAAGCAGCACATGGCTGAGAGGAAAGGTAACTCTGGGGCAAGGGCTGAGGTAAATGTAGATAGAGATGAAACCATGTGTCTCAGCAATGCACGGAGATGAGTAAGATTTGCTGAGGGTCTCTTTATTTTCTGTCAGTATTAAGAACACTGCTTGGAAGTTGAAGGCCGGGATCTTTGAGGATTGAGGCTAGAAATCAAGTGATCTACATGTACTGCCATGACCAAGGTCTAAGAGAGCAGCTTAAATAGGGGCTGTGTCCTAGAGCTGAAGGAGAGATAAAGTTGGTATGGAGCTGGGGTACAGACAGGGGTTTCTAGAGGCCACCATTTTTAAGGTGGAGGGATCTCTAATTATGAGCAGGGGCTCACCAGGCCCTGAGGAATTAAGATTGGAGGAGTCAACACAGAGCTGGATGAGATCGAAGCTGGCCCCAGAATCTTTGGTGAAGGAGAGCACTGTGTACCAGGTTCGGATATTGGTGGAAGGAAGAGCAAGGTCTGACAGGAAATGTGTGTGGACAAGTCCAGATTCAGAGCCTTCATTTCGTTTCTACTTGGGAGGAACCACTCTTCATCCTCAGCATGCCGTTTAATATGTGCAGGGTCAATGCTATCACCAACATCAAGTCTCTCCTTTGTTAACTAACCAAAGCACAGGTTACAAAAGGAGGGCAGGAAACAAGTTTGGGGGACACAATACTTTTATTTGTAGAACTTTGCTGTTATCTGACCCTGCAGCAAATTTGTGATACACTGATTTCTGGCGTCCTACGAAATCATCCCCTTTTACAGGCCTGCTCTTTGGGAAGTCTCCTAACAAGAGGCAGAAAGCTGCTTTCCTTTAGACCTCACATTCAGCCGTTTAATGTTAGGGGCCATTGAGTTGACTCAGTGACACTGTAAACAACAGATCTGAACCTTGCCTTAGCCTGAATCATCCTCACGGCCTGATATGATCAAGCCCACTGTTTGAGGCCACTGGGTCAATCCAACTTGGTGGTGGGAGGGGTGTCTTCCTCTCCATCTCTGATCCTGCACTTTTCCAAGCATGATGTCCAAGTCTGGTCCCTTCTGACAATATGCCAAAATATAAGAGATGAAATTTCACCATCCTTCTCTCAAAGGAACACCCTGGTTGCACTTCCTCCAACAGATGACTCATTCTTTTGGGAGTTCATGGAATATTCAGTACTTTCTTCTAACACAACTCAGATGCATCAATTCTTCTGTCATCACTGTCCAACTTTCAGATGCACAAGAAGTATTTGAAAAGTCTATGGCTTGGATAAGGTTCATCTTACTCTTTAAACTAACATCATTGCCCTTTAGCACTTTGGAGAGATCCTTGACAACAGATTTTTCCCAATGCAACATGTCTTTTGATTTCCTGACTGCTGTTACCATGAGTGTTGATTATGGATCCAAGTGAAAGGAAATCTTTGGTAACTTCAACCTTTTCTCCATCTGTCCTGATATTGCCTATTGGTCTAGTGGTGAGGGTTTTTTCTTTCTTAGTACTGAGATTTCCGTCTGCCATTAGCAGCCAGTTATCACCACTCAGATGGAAGTGAGCAACCTTGAACAGAACCCCCTATCTTCCTTTTTAGTCTATATGGCTCATGCCTTCCCTAAGGGCAGAGATGAGTTGGGATTTTTTTCTTCAAAAACTCCTCCCACTGCCATCAGTTGAAAGTAAGGTCAACTGTGTATAAAACTTGAGAAGTGAAAAAAAAACAAACTTGAGAAGTGACTTATCTGCAGCCTCATCTTAGACCGCTCTCCCACTTAAAAGATTCTTGCTGCTCTTTTCTGGAGTATATGGTCGCAAGCCCTAATTTCTAAGGCTACACTATTCACAACAAAGCAGATCAAATACCTTGAAGTCACAGACACTGTAGATTTGGATCTTTATTATGTCAATGTTTCAGAGGATGACAGTAAAATGCCTTGAGGAAAAGGACAAGAACCCAAGAGCTAGCACAGCTCTGGCTGTGTTTTGTACCTTCTAAGGCAAAGGTTTCTGAAGGCTAGGTTGGTTGCCCTGTTCCCTCTAGCATTTCTGCTCAGCTTGGTCCCTTACCCTTCAACATTCACTAACAACACTGCCTCTTTAGTAAGGCCTTCTCAAGAGGACCTCTACTACCTGTACCCTTTACCTGGCAAAAGCACCCTATTCATCTTTCAACCTGCCCCCAAACCAAACCCCTTGCTGTTGAGTCGATTCCAACTCATACCAACTTTATAAGACAGAGAAAGCTGTATTATTTCCAGAAGCAGACAGAGAGTGGCTGGTAGGTTTGAACCACTTAACTTTAATGCTAGCAGCAGCAGAGTGTTTAACTACTTTACCATTATGGTTCCTTAATTTGAATATTGAACTTGTGAACTAACTTGTCTTATCAGAATCTTGGGTTTGAGAAATAAGTATTGGCACAAACTGTGAGATTGGCACAGGATAGAGCAGGGTTTAGGGCTGTTGTACATAGGGTCGCTATGAGTCGCAAGCAGCTCGATGGCACAAAACAACAAAAACCACCACCACCATGAGGTTAAAAAAAATTCTACGATAGCTGTCAGGAAAATTGCTTGAGCATGCCTCAAAGTATTTCCTTCCAGACAAACTTGTTCTTTTGGGAGTGGTGCCTCTCCACTCCTGCCTCCAGAGCTGCCCATGTGGACAGTCTAGGTGCCCCAACTCATTGCCTGGCCCTTTACTTCATCAAGTCTGGGCGTGAAAACCATGTGTCCTACAGATGGCATGGCTGGTGTAGCCAGGGCAGAATCTCTGCCGACAAGGTGGAGTCAGAGCCTTTCCAAACACACAAGGAAGTTTCCAGATCTCTCTTAGCTCCAAGGAAAATATTTTCAGATAACTTTAATCTTGGGACATGTGAGGCAAGAACCGGGTATTTGGTGCGTGGAGGAGGATGTCCTAGGGGAGTGGATGGTGGGTGATGGAAAACCGGCCCGTTCCAAGGAGATTGGCCGGTGGATAGCGGTCAGTGGGTTCAGAGGCTCTAGAAGACCTCACCAGCGTCTTTTGCTTTCTTGCTTTCAGCTTTGTCGAAGATGCACTGGACACCGGAACACGCCCAGCCCCTCAACCAGTGGCCAGAGCAGCACCTAGACGTCTCCTCCACCACCCCCTCGCCAGCCCACAAGTTGGAGCTGCCCCCGGGGGGCCGCCAGCGCTGCCATTATGCCTGGGCACACGACGACATCTCCGCGCTCACCGCCTCCAACCTGCTCAAGCGCTACGCAGAGAAGTACTCAGGGGTCCTGGACTCGCCGTACGAGCGTCCAGCCCTGGGCGGCTATGGTGACGCCGCCTTCCTCAACGGTGCCAAGGGGGACCCCGAGCCCTGGCCAGGGCCCGAGACGCCCTACCCTTTGGCCTCACTCCACGAGGGCCTGCCAGTAACCAAGTCCGGCAGCGGGGGCGGTTCTGGAGGCCTGGGGGGCTCCCCGGTGCTAACCGGGAACCTGCCCGAACCCCTCTACGCCGGCAATCCATGCGGGGGCCCGTCGGCGGCGCCCGAGTACGCGGCGGGCTACAGCGGGGGGTACCTGGCGCCCAGCTACTGCGCGCAGACGGGCGCCGCGCTGCCCCCACCGCCCCCGGCCGCGCTGCTGCAGCCGCCCCCTCCGCCGGGGTACGGCCCCTCGGGGCCTCTCTACAACTACCCCGCGGGCAGCTACGGCGCGCAGCCCGGCTACGGGGCCCTCCCGCCGCCGCCAGCGCCGCCCCCGGCCCCCTACCTGCCGCCGGGGCTGCCGGCGCCCACGTCCCTGCCCGCGCCCGTGCCGCCCCGGCCGCCGCCGCCCACCTCCTACGACTTCCAGGCGGCGGCAGCTGGCGCTGAAGCTGGGATCTCGCTGAAACGCAAGGCTGCCGACGAGGGCGGGGAGGGGCGCTACCGCAAGTATGTCTACGAGCCCAAGGCCCCCGGGGCCGATGGCGACGCCTACCCCGCCGCCGACAACAGCGACTGTCGGGGCAACGGGTTCCGAGCGAAGCCGACGGGAGTAGCGGATGAGGCGTCGGGCAAGTACAGTGGCAGTGTCCCCCTCAAGGTCCTGGGCTCCCCAGTGTACGGCGCGCAGCTCGAGGCCTTTGAAAAGTTTCAGGAGCGAGCTCCCGCTCCCCGCGGGAGCTTTGCGGTGCCGTCCGGGGAGGCGCCCAAAGGGGCGGACCCGGGCGCCCTGGAGCTGATGACGAGTAAGATGGTGGACTGCGGGCCCCCAGTGCAGTGGGCAGACGTGGCGGGCCAAGGAGCGCTCAAGGCGGCGCTGGAGGAAGAGCTGGTGTGGCCGCTGCTGAGGCCCCCCGCCTACCCCGGCAGCCCACGGCCGCCGCGGACCGTGCTTTTCTTCGGACCGCGGGGCGCCGGGAAGACTCTGCTGGGCCGTTGCCTCGCCACGCAGCTGGGCGCCACGCTGCTGCGCCTGCGCGGTTCCACGCTCGCGGCGCCGGGCACGGCGGAGGGAGCGCGCCTCCTGCAGGCAGCGTTCGCGGCTGCGCGCGGCCGTCCTCCGGCGGTGCTGCTCATCAGCGAGCTGGACGTGCTGCTCCCAGCCCGGGACGACAGGGCCGCCGTGGCCGCCGGAACGCTGCAGGCCCCGCTCCTGACGTGTCTGGATGGCGGCTGCGGCGCAGGGGCGGACGGCGTGCTGGTGGTGGGCACCACCTCGAGGCCCGCGGCTCTGGATGAAGCGACCCGCAGGCGCTTCGCTCTTCGCTTCTACGTGGCGTTGCCCGACAGTACGGCCCGTGGGCAGATCTTGCAACGGTCGCTGGCCCAGCAGGGCTGTGCGCTGAGTGAGCGGGAGCTCGCTGCCCTGGTGCAGGGCACCCAGGGCTTCACAGTGGGGGAACTGGGGCAGCTGTGCCAGCAGGCAGCAGCCGGGGCGGGCCTCCCAGGGCTGCAGCGACCCCTCTCCTACAAGGACTTGGAGGCAGCACTAGCCAAGTTTGGCCCTAGGATCTCCCCCAAGGAGCTGGACTCGTTCGTGGAGTGGGACAAAATGTATGGTTCTGGACACTGATTGCGCGTCAGGGAGGATGGGGGAGCCGACATCCCACCCTCCCTCCTCTCCACCGCCTCATCTTGGGAAAGGTGTCATTTAACAAAAGGGAGCTTGAGAAGGGTGTTGGAATGGTGAAAGGGGGGGGAGGGGGTCTGCCTGTGGATTTTTATTTCCGTGGGAAGGAAAAATGCTTGTGCTAGGCAGATAGATGCCATATACGCCGTGTACTCAGGTTTTTCTATTTATTGTGAACCAGAAATTCCCCTTATGGACGGGACAGATCCAGCATGGGTGACACCCAGGGCCTGCGAACTCCTGCTCTCTTGCCACAATCCTTTTGATCTCTCATTGCCTGAATGACTCATTTCCTACCCCACCCTTTCTCTGCATTTGCCTAGTTTTCTCTCCCCCCAAATCCACCCCCTCCTACTACTACCACCCTATTTCTGTTTTGCTCCCTGCATCTTCTGTTATCAAACTCTGCACTTCTGTCTTCATCCCTAGCTCCCTTGATCCCTGCGCTTAAACACCTCTCATGCCTTCTGTCCTCTTCATTTAATTCAGACTGCAGTATCTCTTCCCAGGAGATCTGGAGGTCCTAGGGTAGACAAGGAGGGGGTCAGGAGTTCCTTCTGCCCCCTTATCCCTAACCCAGATGAAACTTTGGGTCTAGGATGGGGGTCGGGGATCTAAGCAAAAAATGAAAAAGGAAAAAAATACCACCCAAAGGAGGGTGTTTTTTTTTTTCCTTTTGATGAGAAATCCCAAATATGTAGCTTGTTTACTCTTTTAGGCTCTTTATTTTTGTAAGATGCATAGAATGTGCTGTTTTCTTTTATTTTGACAACTCAGGAAGAAACTGACCTCAGAAAGAATGTTAGACTTTGGCTGCTCTCCTGTATCCCTTGTCCCACTCCCACCCATCTGACCCTGTGTCCCCCTCCCCCAGGGGAGATGCTCCTAGAAGACTCAGAAAGTTAGATTTGTAGGGAAAGGGAGAAGACCCAGGGCCACATGCAAACCCCTGCCATTCCTGGGACAGAAGTGGAATGTATTTCTCAGGCTTCCTCCCCAGGTCTAAAGTTTTGAGCAGGGAATGGAGTGCTGGATTTGAAGCAGGGGCCAATCTCCCTTCTTGCTACTTTACTGAGCCCCACTCTTCAGCCCTGTGTTTCCTCATACGGATTATCCAAAGCTTTGAGCTCCTGCCCACCTCCTGCCTGCCTGACCCTCCCTGGCCCAGGAAGAGCTCTCAGAGGCCATCTCATCCAGCCCTGACTTTGGCAATGGTCCTTTATAATTTCTGTTGAGAGGGTTCCTGTGGGAGGGAAGGCAGTCTGGTCACAAGACTGGTTGGGTACAAAATTGACCACAGACCCTAAACTTCCTTGTCTACTGTTTGCTGGGAGAGGTTCTTAGGATGGGTGAGCAGCCCCCATGGGTGAAAGTTCTCTGGGGAAGTGTGCCTTACCCATTTACCTGGAGTCCTTGGTCAGGGCCTCCACAGATTGGGAGAAGGTAGAGGAGGTGGGCAGACCTGTTTTCCCTGACATCAGAGTTTATTAAGGCCCATCCGAACTTCTACCAGAAGCCCTTCCCACCAACTTTCCCTTAAGGGGACATTTTGCCCCCACACCTCAGGGACCCCATTTCACAAGTCTTGAGCTTGGGTCCAAAAGGGAGAATACCCACTCCTGACTCTTCTCTCTCCCTCCCAGTCTCACATCCTGTTTATTGCCTACCCCTGCAGCTCCCACAGAGTCTCTGCATCACCTTCCACTTCTGGCTGGGTGTCCGTTGGGGATATTTCAGGTGCCAAGGTGCTGAGGGCCTAGGAGTGCTCCCAAGAAAATGGCTTTGTTTTTTCGCCGTTGCACCCTTGGCCTCTTTCTCACCCTCCTGTACTTGGAGCCAGCCAGTCGTAGGCCTCTGGTGCTTCCAGAACCATAGGTCACAGGGTCTTGGCTGAGAATGACCAGGAAGGAGCAAGGAGTGAAGGAGGTTCTCTCAGGTGTGTGTGGATGGGGGTGGGGGGCTGGGTAGAGGGTGTAAAGCAAGAGGGTTGGGATCTCAGCTTTCAGGGTGAAGAAGGGCTCACTGACTGAGCTCCAGGGTCCCAATGGCCTCCAATACTGGGCTCTTCCTGTTCTCCAGGCTTGGGGAACTTTGCACAAGGAGACAGCCCCCAGTCTATTGGCATCTACCTCATGGACATTGGGGTGGGAAAGGGAAGGGCAGGTCCAGCTCTGGCAGTGTTGGGGGGGCCATACCAAAGAATCCAGGGGCAGGGTGTTGGAGTGGGGCAGACTTGGCAAGTTGGCCCCCTCCTTCCTCTACCCAGATTGGGGTTGGGGTCTCCTTCAGCTGTAACCATTTCTACCTCATTTTGCTGCGTGTTGTACATGGACGTATTTATCTCCTGTCTGACGATGCTCTGCAGTTGTGGTCTGTCTACCTCAGAAGAGACTGTATTTTAAAAGAAAGTATTACACAGTATTAAAGTGATGACATGTGATTTCCAGAGAATTTTTTGGGGACAGAGGATATGGGTAGCTCTAGAGAGGGTTGCTGGGGCATCCAGGTCTGTTGGAACCCAGGGTGTGGTTTTGTGGGTGTTTCTCTTTCTTCAACACAAAGTTATTATGGAGCTTCTGTTACTCACTCCTCACAGGATATGCCTCTCGATGCTACACACTGAGGCTACAGTGAACACTCGGGCTCAGGAACGCTGCTTAGGGAGGGCTCTCTCGTAATTCTGAGCTCTCAGAGGGTCAGTACTGGGGTAGATGCATTGTATTTCCAGAACCCTGCAGTGTGAGGGGTAAAGAAGGGCTACCATGTTTATTGAATGAGTGAGTGAATGAATCCACAAACTGAAGGAACAGAGTTCATCCAGAGGAAGAAGAGGAAGGTTCATGAGAACCTGCAGAGCAGCCCCTGTTGAACAGAGCCTTCTTAGATGCTGATGAGTTGAGTGCGACTCATAGTGTCCCTCTGAACAACAGATCTGAACCCGGTCCTATTCTGTGCCATCCTCATCATCTCTAACACACTTGAGCCCATGGTTGCAGTCACTGTGTCAGTCTATCTCATTGAGAGGGTCTTGCTGTCTTTCACTGACTCCACTTTTCCAAGTATGTTCCTTTCCAAGTAATAGCTTCTCCTAGACACATGCCCAAAAAGTATGTGTGATAAAGCTTCATCTATTAGGAAACAGGAAAGGAATCGCTTGCTGAAAAAGAACTGTGGCAGTGTCTATGAGAGAAGGTTTGAACCCACAACTTCGGAGTAAGCAAAATCATTGAAAATATACAGGAAGCCAAGGGGAGCAGTGTACCACAGGCTCCCAGGCAGCAGAATAAGGACACAGGGACTCGACAAAGCAAACAGTGTCCTTAAGGGAAACAACTATGGAGGCGTCTGGATGTGGTGGCCCATTGCTGCCCTGTCTCAGGGTTTAACAGCCCCTCTGCTCTAAGCCCTGGAGGCTGAGGCTCTCTCTAGATTGCGTGGGAAACCTTATGGGGCGCAGTTCTGTTCTGCACACATGGGACCAACATTTGTCAGACCCAACTTGATGGCAGCCAGTACAGTGTTGACATGGAGGAAACAGGAATGGCTAAGGGAGGATCATGCCAAAGTCACATTCCCGTGCCTTACACAGTCTATAATATACAGGGACAGAATGTTGAATGTCTAGGTAAATGCCCTGATGGAAGATGTGCAGGTCATTTTAAAATGACCAGAAGAGACCCCAGATCGTGGTGATAGTAGTGGTGGGGTCTCAGTAGACTATGTGAGATGGGCAGGGATATAGCCTGACAAAACCATAGAGTCTAGAAACGTCACTGACATGTGGGCCTCTCTGTGAGCAATGATTTCTTACAAGAGTATAAAGTGGGGACAGAAACAGGGAAAAGAGACAGAAGGCGTCAGCTGGGACTGGACCCCAGGCCTTTCATACCCTCCTAAAAGCTGAGACTCCACTAGGAAGCTTCAGGGGAGGGGTATGAAAAGAGGGTGGCTGTGGATAGAGTCTCGACTGCAAGTTAAGAGTTCATACATTCACACATGGACTCAAAAGAGCTCACTGAACACCTATTATGCAATCATTGCTATGGGGATGTTAGGCTGGCAGTGTGATAGGGACAGTAAAAGGCAGAGCTGTGTGTACTGTGGGAACAGACAGGAGGGATACCACATGGAGATTTGAGCAAGGGTGTGTGTGTGTGGGAGTCAGGGAGGGCTTCCCAGAGACCCCCAGCTGAGACCTGACAGCAAGAGTGGCTCAGGCAGAACAGAGTGCAGGGGAAGCTGAGAAGACAGAGGCAGCTCCCAGCCAGTTTGGGGAAATGTAATGTGGGCCCCAATATCCAGGTAAAAGAGGATACAGGTCTGACTAGACAGGTGTGGGGAGAAGGGACATGATGGCATCTAGTATGTAAAAGAATTTAGAAATTGGAGGATTGGTGAATTGAAGATAGTGGAGAGCAAGAGGTCCAAATGAGGCATTTGTTTAAGTCCTGTAAAGTGGAGGTGGGAGGTGAGTTAGAAAAGATGGTGTTGAGTTTTTGAGGCACCACTGCAGATAGCAATTTCAATACTGAGACCCAGTTTTAGCCTTGGGAAACCGGTTTCCCCCTGTTCTTGGAAGAGCCTCCTCTCACCATTTCCATGTGTTGAAAACCATGGGCATCTCTGGGTGTTGGGAGGCCCCTCCCCCCAAGTCCTGTGTCGAGGAGTCCCATCCTGTCTTAACCCCAGGACATTGAAGGCCTTTGCCCCACAATCCGTGGGCGGTAGAACCCCCTGGTGTTCGGAGCCCCTCCCCCTAGAGTCTTTGGGTCCCTAGACACCGCTGGCGATGGCGTCGCCGGCTGGGGCTGTGGCTCTGGTCCTGTCGCTGTGGGGCTGGGGGCCGGGTCCAACGGCAGCCGAGGACGCTATGGGCCCTCACACAGCCGTCCGCCTGGCCGAGCTGCTGACCCCCGAGGAGTGTGGCCACTTCTGGTCACTCTTAAAGGCTCCCGAGCCTGATGTGGAGGCCGAGCTGGCCAGACTGTCAGAAGACCGGCTGGTGCTGGCCGAGCCGCCGGACCTCACGGAGCAGTCGGAATCCCAGGTTCGGCTCCGGAGGCGGCGGCAGGCGGGGCAGGACGCCGAGGGCCAGCCGGCCGAGCCCGAGGAGGCCTCCGACGGCTGTCGGGAGGCGCTGGCGGCCTGGCTGGCTGCCGAGGCGCCATCCCTGCCGTGGGACCGCGTGGCCCGGGCCCTGCGGCGCAGCGGCCGCCCGGACGTGGCGCGGGAGCTGGGCAAGAACCTCCACCAGCAGGCGACGCTGCAGCTGCGCGAGTTCGGGC